ATTTTGTTCACTTAACTAGTGAGGCACCCATTTGCAATATTTATAGACCAATCCTAGCTTCCGAATATGATCGGAAATGGTTTGTTGAGTTGAACTTAGCTTCTCTGCAATATCTGACGTTGTCAAAAATGGATTTTGCTCTATCATAGCCTTGATAATGTCGTCATAGATCAATGACGGCCGTCCTGAACGTGGCTTATCATTAAGCTCAAAATCACCTGCTTCAAATTTTTTAAATGAATTTTTGCATGTTCTATCTGAAACTGCATATAAACCAAAAACTTATACTAAATTTCGGCACGCTTCTGTAGCATTTCTTCCTTGTTGGAGCTCGTACAAAGTACAGTGGCGTAAATGAACTTTTTCGTAGTCATGTTTTAACGATCGCCTCTCTCTGTCCAATGACATAAGAAGGTTTTTTTTCAGTTTATTTAGGAGAGTACATGTGTATAAATGCAATGACAACGAGAAATAGTCATATATGACTCAAATAAACATGTTTATATCGATTGAAACTTGTGGAGAAAAAATTCGACAAAACTTTCCGGTAGACTTAATATAATATATTATATGATTCGTTATGATATTATGAATTCGTTTAATTTTAATGTTTGTTTGAAAAAGTAAAATTGTAAAAACGACTTCTAACGAGTATATATAGACGTTGACAACGACAAGTAGTGTTGGATATTAGCAACACAGTTTGCACGTGGTATTTTAATCGAATCCGTAGGTAGCTAGCATGAACCGCTTGCAAGCTCGCCAATTTGATTTTACGAAGCCGTCGGTCTACCCTTACACCAGTAGCTCGTTCGTCCCATTAAACGTTGGTCATCGAATTCGTTGAATAGCCGAACGAATATCGAGTAAATGCTGATTGTGGAATACGCGAGTTTAGATAGCGAGAACAAGCGTGTACGATGTTTATTATCTTTTACGTATAGAACCAACGCGTTTTGTAATCAACGAGAGATATCCAAGGCTATCAAAACCCCTGATGGGCAATTCCGATGATTTAATTAATCCGAGTAAACATAACTGCTAGGGAAAATACTATTGTCTCGGTTAATGATGTGCTATGTCAGAAAACGAAATAATATTTTCGAACGTTCAAGATATACCATTACAACTTAGTTAATACAAAATTTAATCTAAAGTCAGCGTGTTACAATGTAACTCGATGTAATTGGAATCCAAGTATTCGATGAACCTGATATTCTATTACTGGTAGTAGTTATATTATATCTTTGAATACGAAAGAGATAAATCTTTATCTTCTTCTTGTTTTATTTTTCTTTGTGTATTCATTAAACGAAGAAAAATGATTATAATAATAAGAAATATAAACGTATACTATATAAGGACAATATTATTTTTTTATTACGTATATATAAAATTGAAAAAAAATATAAGAATAAATAAAGAAACGTCATTTATTATCGTGACATAATTACAAAACTAAATCGTTTGTACTGAAAACGACTAAAGAGAAAATGGTAGGAAAGTTACAGAGTGCTCATCAAATATTTCAATCTTGCTTTCAGTACCGCCTTAAAATATTCTTGGCATCTTAAGTAACAACTTTCTGCAATCTCGTGGAAGTAATTTCGACTGAATTATAATATATTGAAAATTCGTTTTGCGCTAATAAAGATTCCTTTTTGTTCGGTGAATAACACATTCGGATTGAACCTAATTATTCAAATGTATTTAACACATAAAATTGATTAATAAATAATACGAATAATTAATTATATATTATATTATTATATTATATATAATTATATAATAATATATAATACGTATACGTTATTATTTTTCTATTTATTCTTCGACTTTTCTTTTTTCTTCCTTTTCTAACGGATAAAATAAAAAATAGTATAATCTATAAACGCATCGATGAAAAAAAGGGATCAAACGCGAAAGAAGAAAATAGAAAAAAGGGACGATCTGAGGGAATAAAAGGGTGAAAGCTGGTAGTACTACTGTTGCTGTTGCCGTTGTTGTTACTGTTGCTGCACGATGGAACTAGATTTACTACGTCCACTGATTTATGCGTTGACACGCGCGTACGTCCTCTATATACACATACATACATAGACGTAAAAGTATCCGTGTATCCGTGTAATACGTAAATGGTGAGAGTTCCAATGATATCGTGAAAATCCTGCTGCGAATATCACCACAAACGAAGGATACACTAATACCAACACACGCAAGACAACTGTATATACTATTCTGCTAATACCATCATCCTGAACCCTCCCCCCCTTAACCCCCGAGCATTTTTCCATTTCTCCCGGAATTTCTCATTTTCCACAACCCCGTTTGTTCTTTCTTTCCTTCTTCTATCCTCCGGATTGGCTTCCTAAGTATAAGCCTGTGAATTCTTTATTCCTATTTCTTGGATAAGTTTAACGCATATAGAGAAATATAAAAAACAAAATAAATTATTCGTCGATGTGAACGTTTTTGAAAAGAAAAGAAAAAAAAATAGAAAAGAAGATGACAGAAAAAACATAGAAAGATGTTTCCCAAAATTATCATTCACTCATTGTTGCACCAACAAAATTTCTGTGTAATATTAACCAGTTAAGTGTGTTTGACGACTATATCCGTCATGGAAGAATGGCAGAATTTTRTGTGTTTGACGGCTATATCCGTCATTCATAAAATTTTCATACAATTTGATATTTAAATTGKAATTCTGGCGAAAACTAAATTATATTCGTAAATATTAATACGTTTAGAATGTTAAGGGGTCAGGACGAAATGAAATAAACAAATAAAAATTATAGATAATTTGAGTTGGACACTAGATCTTTGATTAACCCGATTATTATCTTGACGTGTCATAACCAAAAAAAAACAAAGTATATTAGATTCTCCATCTGCGATGATGTCCGCGATGTCTAACCAAAGAAAAAGAAAAAAAAAATTTTTGTTTGTTTGTTTGTTTGTTAAATATTTGATTTTTTTTTAAGTTTTTCGTTAATTATGTGTAAATATAGCTTTACGTTTTGATCCATTGTTTAAATATTACTTATAAATTCATTCATTTTCTAAAATAAAGTCGTCTTTTTGACCGAATATTTCAACAGCGCCACTTATTCTATGTTTGACGACTATATCCGTCATCGGTTGATTATCGCGACACACACTAGGGCGTACTTTGAAAATGATCGACACAGTTAACTGCTTAATCAGTTATTTCTCTCGTTCAAAATTATAATTCTTAATGATAAGGTATCCACAGGGAACTTGGACATAAAAACCGATTTTTGAGAGTTTCAAATTATAACGAGCTAATACTTAATTAAGTTTAGATGTTTTGTGTTTTGAATATTAATAAAAAGAAAAATGTATGTCT